ATTTCCTTACAGAACTACTTTCTTGCTTAAGCTCTTGCCAAGATATGCGAGGTATACAGGTAGCATGTGACATGAAGAGCTGTGTTTATAAGATGTATAACCAAGTAAAAAGGACGAGCATTGTAAAATTCTAGCTTGTATAGAGAACACCACTGCTCGGGATAACTGGTACTGAATGGATGCAGTGGGTCACCTGAGGCAAACCTGTGCGCTCTGTAACCAGTGCTGGTGTGTGTCGTTATCAGGTGATTGCAGAGCGAGCTCTCCTGCGCATAGAGAGGGAGGTGGAGGGGGAGTCGGAGGCTGAGTTTCATGAAGATGTGGTCGCTGGCAGCGAGGTGCACTTCCGACGCCAGGTGATGACATAATAGCAGCACAGAATGATGACGGGAGAAAAAAGTATCGCCAGCTTTGCATCATGTGTGACTTATTATTCATAAACGTAGGTCAAATTCAGCTCTCACTTCTCTACATTAATGAAGCCATGCAACATTTACATTTACCCTTAGGACTGATAGAAATGCCTTCTGATTTGATATTTGTAACCTGTCTTGTTTCTTTCTCATGAAATTAAGAGTATACCAGTGTTGGCTAAAGTTAATTTCCTAAACATCAGCCAATGCAGAACAAAAATGTTTCAGGTCGTAAAGAGAATGTTTTCTTTTTTTTTCTATACCTCTTTAAAGAGTTAAGAAGATGCTGAAATTGGTTACACAGAGCATTCGTCCATCATAGCTGTGTTTCTGTCAGTGGAAAATGCAATAATCTGGAGGATTTCTCTCTCAAAACATGGATGCAGACTTTCACTTTTATTCAGTGTTGCTGTTCTCCTCTTACCTCAGCCAAAAAGAAGAAAAAAGAAATGTTGTTCCGTCTCTTGACTTGCCTCTGTCAGTAGGAACAGACAGACTGCTTCTGTAGGTGAGGTGTACATGCAGACAGGGCTCCCACGCCTTGATGGTGGCTTGCTCAGCTTTTAATTTTTTGCTTAACTGCTCTGCTATTTGTGAAAGACTGTCTCATGCAGTATTAACATGCTTTCTCAAGGCAAGAGGTCTGATCTTGAAGGAATAATTTTTAGTGTAGTGAAGAGCATTGTTGCACGAGCAGAGTCAGGCTGGTTTGCAGATCTGTCCTCTGTGTCCAGGTTCTGGAGCTGCACACAGAACCTTGTCTCATAAGCTTAGTGGTCCAGGTAGGGAAAGCTATCTGGAAAACATGCTCTTTAAACCTTTAAACCTCTTACCGTGAGATCCTGCTGTGCATTCAGCGAACTAGATAGTGTTGTACATAGGCTGTCTGTAGTAAAATCATTCTGTTCTGAGCCCTAAGACTTGCTGTACAATGTGCACATACCTGGTAGGTGCAGGCTGGTAGTTTTAGTGTTTTTTTTTCTCCCTTCCCTAGACTGTCACTCCTGTTTCATTCAGATTCTGTCTGCGCATACCTCTTTAGCTTGCTGTGTAATTACTTTAGACAGCTAGACTTAAGATTAGTTTATGCATGGAAAGCACTGACACACCACAGAGAAGAATTCTAGCACTGCTTACAGGTTTTGTGAGCATGGCATTTGTGCACAAATATCCCCTTTGTGCTGAAATTCCGTTGTTTAGGAAGTATTTAGGAAAATCTGGAGGTAACAATTCTTACAGCATGTCTATTCTTACAGGGGCATCATGTAGCTGAAGATCCCAGCTGTGCTGTTATGTAACCGTGCAAGTTATTGACCTGGAAATCCAAATGTGAAGATGCTGTTACTGGTGTCATACCTTTTGGAACTGGCAGTGTCTTGATGTATTGACTGCTCCATAACCAACTCCCCTTTTGGGTGATGAATGTACATTGCACCTCATGATGAAATAAATTATTTTCCTGTCAGTTAATTTCTTAGGCACCCTGATATGGTAAGTTTTCTGGCACGGAGGGTTCTGAAAAGACATAGATCATTGCCAGGAAGTGTGTTGGGAAAGCAGATAGGTGTAGAACACACTAGGAAATTCTGTTGACACAGCCTTATGTAGCTCCCCCAATTCACTTAGCAAAACAAATGAAATTCTTGGCATGACTATAAGAATTGTTTTGAGTATAATGTAAGTGAACAGGACAGGACTCCCTGAGGACCTCGGTCCAGCATGTTTTACAGTAGCTGTAATTTGGTTACCTGCTGTACTCCTGAGAAAAGGGTTAATTAGATAACAAAGAACTCAGGTGGAATGAAAACCAGAACGCTCTGTGGCCCTTAAGGATTATACCTGAGCACACCGTAGTATAGGACTCTAAAGTAAATATAAATTTGATAAACCTATCGGATAGCATGGTACAGTATACAGCATAAAAACAATCAAAGGCTCTGATGAAATGAGCCTCTTCCTAAAAGACAATGACGCAGTAGGTTCCCTTCGAGCTATCAAATCCAGGAGTGTACAGCAAACGAATGTCTGCATGTTTGTACCTGATCTGTGATGCCTTGTCTTTCCATGTGTTGTTGGAGAATTGGAGAAGCTGGTTCTTCCAATTTTAACAAGAAAGTGTTCTTCGTCTATTGAGGTCATTTAGGATGGATCAATAACGCAAAAGAAGGGTTTAGATACCCTTGTCACTACTGCTAATCTCTTCCCCATTCCTTGAATTGCTTGGACAGCCAGAAGTGTGGTGAACCGTATTAAAAGGGAATAGACACATGATACAGAGTGTTTCAGGATCTAAGGAATTGTGCCTTGCAAAAGGGGGGAAAGATGAGCACAGCTGGTTGAATAACAGGTGTTTACCAAATCAAATCACTCAAGACACTTTGTAACTTGGACTATGTCATCTCTTTTCACTGCCTGGTAAATGGGATCTGTGTTGCATTGTCCTTGTTTTGTGAAGAAGGCATTTTAATGTTGAATCTGCCAAGTGAATGGAAATCTTCACTGTTTTGCTCTTGAAGCCAAAAACTAAGGTCCTTGTGGTCCCTTTGCCATACAGTCTTTTAGTTTAAGAGTGAAATAGTTTGCTGAAAGGGAAAAACAAGCCCTTTGTCTTTTTGTATGAATGTTTAAAATGGAATATTGTACTAGTGCAATTGTGAAGGAGTATGTGAGGATTTAGGTGTCTGAAAGACATTTAATGTGTGGAACCAACAGCCAGGGTGACATTCAAGCAGTTTGTAACATCACTGTTTAGTTAATTTTATTATTATTGCATGTTTTTTGTTTTTAGTTTTGCTGTCTGTTCTGTTGGCATTAAATTCAGAAACATTATACATACAGTATGGGAAAGTCTTCCCTGGAAAAAAGACCTGGCTAGGTTTTGTCACAGGAAACGATCCTGATATTAACAAGATCTGTAAATGAAGTACATTTTGTGTCAAAATGTTTTCAAATGGAAAGCCTTCTTTAAACTTTTTCTCTCAAAACAAGTGGAACATAGCCTTTTTGTGAAAAAATGCTAAAATGTCTTTTCAGTCACTGGCAATTACTTGTGCCTGCTGCACGGAAAAGCAAAAGTTATTTTGTATTTTAATACAAATTTTGTTATGTAATAAAAGCAGCATAATGTTTCCTGTTGGAATTGTTTGTTTTTTTCAGTCATCCTTCAGGATTATTTTTTTACAAAATAAAACTTAATCTATTACATTTTATACAGCATATTCAGTTGTACAAGCAAAACGTGAATCATCATTAGAAATTGTTGTAAAGTCCCATATATAATACCACTTTGATTCCTTACTAAACACTACATAAAGGAAACAGTACAGTAAAGGTAAAAAAACAGGTCTCCATGCTACTATGCTGTAGGAAAGAATTGGCAAAGATATTCAAACTGCCATAAAAAGAAACAGTGCTTAAGGGATGAACGAAGCCTAGCAGTTATTCCACACCAGTCCTGAAGAGTACCACTCATTCACAATATTCCATCTCTGCTCCTGAGTATTGATAATTAAGGTTTTCATGAATTATTTCCATAATGTACAGAAAATCTATTTTAAGTTTATACTTTTTTTTTTGCTAGAGTTGATCACTGAACACATGCAGTTCACTTTTACTGTAGGTACAGTAATTTTAAACATTTTTCGACAATAGTATTATCTTCACTCATTTTACCCTGGAAGCCTGCTGTCCCTCCAAAAGCCACTTTTGAGATCTGGAGCTGTTTTTTCAAGTGTATGCTTAAAAGAACATTTATGAAAAAAAATAAATTTGTAGAGGCTTCAAAGACTCATATGCAGAAAAGGAGGAATAAATTATGATGGGGGGGAGAGTTTTTGTGGGCTACATAAAAATAACACTTTATACTTCTCATTGTGTCTTTGCAGACAGAAAGATAGGATGGGGAAACTAAATGATCCAAGACGGAGGTTTGGGAAAAGATCTCTTCTTTCAAGATTACAATGTTGTATTAATCTTAAGTGAAGTTGTACAGTATGCACAATTTAGCAGTTTGGTTTTAAAACATGACCACTGAATTCAAATCATTTGGTATATAAAATATATTCTTTTTTTTTTACAAAAGTTCAAAAACTTGTTACATGCTCAACTATGTGAGTGTTCTAAGAACAAAAAAGAAGTGCTTTGAGAGTCTAGACTGAGTACCGTCTCCATTAGCTAAACAATAGTTTCCTTATTCTTGTCTTTGCTCGTGGTGCTGGGTGGGACAGCCTGCACTGGACTGTGCAGTACCGCTGGTCTTGGAATCTGAAGTCGGACTTTCTGATTAGTCCTTCTCCACTTCTTGAAGAGTTGAATGTGATATCGTATCGAGACCTGTAATAGCAAAAGAAAAACTCATGACTTAAGGCCTTAGTAAGGGCCTAAATGAAAACTTTGTGGAAGTTAATTTAATAACCGAGAACCCAAGGCACTTCTTCACCCAAAGGCTGGTAGGAGTATGGAAGAAGATACCCAACCATGCTGTTAATCCTCATTCCTTGGTTTACTCCAAGAATTGGCCGTATGGATCCTTAAATCAAAGGGCTAGTAACGGTAAAAACAGGCTAGATTTGAATGAAGCTGAATGGCCTCCTTTCATTTTGTAACCTTTTTTAATGGGCTTATGTTCTTAATATGAGCAGATTTCAGTGCAGGATTTGATACTGTTCTTTAATGTCTGATGCGTTTCTTGATTTATTTCTTAGAGAAGCTAGGCTTATTGCTTCTACACATAGAATCAAGTTTGGGGAATTCAGTCAATCAGATTTCCCTTCAAGTCAAAATGACTTTGAACCAGGCTGTTTAAAGTGTTTAAAGTGCACTCTTTTAACATGGTGTTGACATAACAGTAATTTGCTTCTTTTTTCCCCAGCTCTTCCTAGTTGTGAGTCTCAAATTTTGTGTGAAAAACAGTAAGACACATCAAGTAAGGGCTTGGTGAGGGTTAATTCCCGCAGATCCTCTTCAATATCAAGGGGCCCAGTCAGCCCATGGGGCCCAGTCAGCCCATACAGCCCAGGTGCGAGGCCGTGTGTTACTGCTGCAGTAGACCCACAGGATCCACAGGATCGCTGATCTGACACCTGCCAGGACTGGGGCAGCAGCACAGCACTGGTCTCCAGGGGACACAATGTGTTCTGCCTGTTCTCCTCGTTACTGTCTTGACCCCATTATGTGCTTAACTGAACAAATAAAAGGTTTTTCCAGGTTTTAAGGCTGGTGGCAATTTAAAATGGATCATGCAGTGGAGCAGCATCTTGGACAGAATCCCAACTAAAAACGGCAGTCTCAGCCACCTGACTGTACATGCCACAGCCCTCTAACATTTGGCCTCAAAAGTCATGTCTGTTTCACTCTTTTAAACTTACAGTTGTCCAGAAAAGGTAAATGGTGAAAAGTGCAAGTGTGAGGACTATGAGTCCAATTGCTTCCATGCTGCTGCTGTAATAGAGGTCCGTGGCTCCCTGGACACACAGCCAACCAGACAGACTGGCTAATGGAGTTATAAACATGAAGCAGATGGCATCTCCACACAGAGTTCTCCTCTGATGCTGCATCGCTGGGGCTTGCAGCCACTGAAAATGAAAAATAATGACTATTACTATTACTTACTGAGCATCAGAACAAACCTGAATTGTACTTCACATGTTTAAAGGTAGTTTTGATCAGATTGTTTTATTTCTGTTCTCAAATTAATCTTAAACAACAGCAGTCAAGAATGTGGATGATGATGATAACCTTAGAGGAGAGATGTGTCCTCACAGGGCTTCAGTGTGACTAAAGGAAGGAAGCAGTTAAATGAAGAACGGAGCATGACGTAGATGGAGTACACAGTGTATTGTTCTTCTTAAACACGTGACTTCATCAGTAGATTAACAGCTATTTCAAGCTACAGTTCTCACATGAGATAATGTCCATTAACACAGTAATACCTTAATGATTCCCTGTTCCCCTGCTTTAGAAAGGAAACGTATCTAATCTCATTTCCCTGTTAAGTGGTATTAGTTTAAATGACATTAGTTAGTATGGTTAGTTTAACAGAATGCATGCTCAAACAGGTCTTCTTGACTTTTGTACAAAAATTCTATCTGGTATTACAAGAAACTGACCAATATCTGGTGTTCTGTTATGGTTACTTCATGATAGTTCTTTATAGGTCAGCAGTTTTCAGGTTGCAATGCTAAAGAGTGTGAGGGAGATCTACAGCTCCTCCTACAATTACTGTATGTCAAGCCCCCTGATCAAACTTGTGCTGAGTCTCACTGCTTGCATTAATCACAGCTCAGCAGCCTGGCCATACACGGGCACTCTTGTCTCTGGTTGGAGTTATCAGTGGCTGGGGTGGAGGATAAGCACAAGGAAGTGAAAGGAAGGTTTTGCGTAATGGCTGCTTGCTGGCACAAAAAAAAAACATTTAAGGAAGATCCCCAAATCTCCCCAGTCAATTCCCCTCCAGCTATAGGGTTTAAAACCAGTTGCAGCTTGTCTTTACAAAGCTGCTTCACTTAGCGTCCATGTGACTGTGTACAAAACACAAATTAGAAATGATTCTGCTTGAATCCTCAAATTAAAGGCTAAAACCGTCTCCCTTCCTTCCTTTTCCAGAGTCTTTTCAATGATAACTCCGATCCCCAGACCACTGAAGGAGCCACCCCAAGGACGCTATTGCACTAAATTCCTTTTCGCTGTTATATTCCCAGACCTGTCACGTTTTTCAGACGTACACTAAGCCACATTGTGTTTCAGTTCCCTCTTCTTTTACCTCACTGAGTGGCTTTGGCAAGCGTTCCAAGGCAAATTCAAAGTGACAGAGCTCACAGTGGCTTGTGTTTGAAGCTGTCAGCCAGTGCTCCAGACAGCTGCGGTGCAGCTTGGCCAGTGTGCCTGAGCACCGACAGGGCGACAGGAGCTCCTCACCACCGCTGCCCTCATGGCAGATCCTGCAGAAGGGGTCCTCACTGCAGAGGCTGCATTGAAACAGAGGAATCGTCTACAATCATACAGAAAAAGTGAAAGCTCAATCACTGCTTCTGAATATGCGCTTGTAGGGCTGTACTTAAGGAATAGGCAAATACTGCAAAATTCAAAACTAATATTGATCACAGTTATTCTTGTACACTGTACACTCGGAACCGTTTGTGTGTAGGGACTAAGTTAAAGTTATGCCCGAGGGTGAAGTGTATCTTCTTTGTAAAATCAGATAAAGAAAACAGTCAGTGAGTTAAATAAACAGAAGCAGTTTTAGGGGGGAAAAAAACCCTTTCCTTTGTTTTCCCTGAGATCTTGTCTGTTGCTGGACTCGCCCACCTGCTGGCGCTGGAGATTGCAAGGGGGACAGAGGTTCTGCCCTCAGTATCTTCCTGCACACAGGGGCTGGGCAGCTGCTCCACTGTTAACTGCAGTAAGGAGGTGACCGCTGATAGACCGTCATGAGGGTCCTCACAATCCATGTCTGCTGCCCAGGGATCTGTCCATTCCACTGTTTCCTACAGCAGGGCCATACAATCCACCTGAAATGCAGAGGCAGACTGAGAACCACAGCTGAGAAACACACACTGCTCTTCCTGGTGACAGTGACAGTGCACTGAACTAGGAACCACATCGCGTGTTCAGTTCTAATGGTAAGCTTGCATCCAGTAAAGTGGGCGCTCAGTGATCGTGCTGGTAATGCAGCGTCTCTGTGGATCCCATTTAAGCCACCTTTGCACTAAGCCTCCTCCACACACCCCAAACGTGACGGCATAAGCTAATACCTGTGATGTAGTGTATAATTACCACAGATCTAGAGGGAAATCAAATCTCGCCCAACATGCAGCATTATCTAATGGACAAACCGGCGACTGGGACATATTGTTCTTGGATAGAATCCTCCCTCATTTTAGTACAAAACAAAGTTGGAAATAAACTGTCTAGCCACGCTGTTATGGCCCAGCTTTGCCCTGCTATTGATTTCTGTTTGTTGTAGGTGCTGCAGGAGCAACAGGGCTCACAGAATCTGATTCTAAACATCTGTGTGTCCTTTCACCTGCGTTAATGATAAATAAATAACAGAGGAGGCGCACACACTAAAAACAGTCAATCAATAAGTTGGTCCTCCTTTTCTGTGCCATCATCGGCTGCACAGAGCCACAGTGCTCGGGGATAGGGTGCTGTATCCTGGCCAGCGGTCCTGCTGTCCTTTGATCTGGGCTTCACATGCGCTTCCACGCTCAGTGAAAGAGGGGGAACAGTCCTGGTAATCCCCAGCCTCTTATCCCATCCCGGAAATGTATTAATTGGATAAATATGCTCTGTTCAAAAAAGCACTCATGTTCCCTGTTGCTTATTATGGAATTGCTTGCAGATGCATAGTTCACAAGAGATTTCATGTTGCACATTTATTACAAATAAATCTGGTCGAATAACTAAAGCTATTGCTTTCTTCGTGACAAAATCGAGCAATTGTGACAAACAGAAGTTAGTAGTTCTTCATATAAACAGGTAATTTAAACATCTTTAAGACATAGCTTTCAATAGATTATGAGACTTATAATTTTAATTCTGTCTATGCAGAATATTGAAATGTGACAAAATGTGTGAAAGTATTTGAAAAAATATTACTTCTAATACATTTCATTTGTAAAAAAAAAAGTAGCCATTTTATGCATGGAGTAAGAATGATTGTTTCACTTGTTTTTTGGTAACGCACACAGATTAAGAAATCAGATTGGACAGTCATCTAATAAAACCTTTAGCCTTTTTGCTTCTATGTACATCACTATACATTCCAAAATATATTGTACATGTCTATTAATAATGCCCTAAAAGCTGTTGCCTTACGTAGAAAAATAATTCCATAAAACAAGCATAATTTTCCAAACATGACTCTACACAGTTACATTTCACAGCATACTGGCAGCTGCTGGCGGCAAGTTGTCTTTTACAGCACTACACTTTACATGATGAATCTCAATCGCTGGTGACAACTAACTGCAAAGTTCAATATTGCACTACTGTTTAGAGTGCACTTTTAGCCTTAGGCAGGGCACAGTCTCGCTGAAGAAAATATTTAAAGAAATGCAACCTATTTTTCCATACTTTTCAATGCACTACCAAAAATAGAGAACATGGGTTGTTTTATTACAGTCAAAGAAGGTCATTTCAATACAAAGACAAAAAAAGTCAGCTTCTGCTCGGCGATCCAGTATGTTGGTGGCACACTTCCTGAACGTTTACTTTCCCAAGAACTCCACTGTAAACATTTTGGTCACGTTCCGCAGAGGGGCAGTGGAAAGATCCAGGGAGACTTGTGAACTGCATAGCCAAGCATCAACCTTTCTGTTCAGAAAAGGATATACAGTACATGAGAAATATGCTCAAAGCCTTACCTTAAAGGCAGTCAGCTGGCACATTTTGCAAATGCTCCATAAAAGAGGGAAGAGGTGGAGAACGGAGTGGAGGCTGCTGGGTTTCAGCAGTGCCAAGTGTTTGCTTGAGAAGACGCTCGGCAGACTGTTTCCCTTCACTGCGAAGATTAGCACTCAGCTCAAGGTCAGCAGTGAGAAGAGATGGGGATTAGACTGCAAAATCGGCGCAGACTAGACAAATGGAAATCCTTTTCACATCTCTGCTAGTTACACCAAGGGCACCTACTCGCTGTAGCACTGTAATCCAGTTAGATGTTGCTATTGCAAGGCTCTAGCTAGCCAGACATTATGGTAATTTAGGTTGCTCACACACTGACAGCTCGCTTGTGGGGAGGTACTGCTCCAATTTAAAAGTCAGCTTGGGTGGAACCAGAATTCTGCCCTCATAGCTCCTAATTCTGACCACCTGCAAGACAATCTCCTGTCTTTGTCCTCTGCCAACACATCTCAGATGATTTTAAATGTGCACATTTGTATTTAAAATGCCTACAGTATGTTTACTACAGACTTTTGACAGTTTGTTGTAAATGCTGAAAATTTGTTTTCACACAAATCTAAAAGGGAGCTATCATTATTGTGAGGGTGAGGTTAGGTAAAATTGAAATATGCAGATCTATTTGGTCACTCATTCTAGAGCATAGAAGACTAATCCTGCATCTGCTCTGTCTACAACAGTGGTACAGTCGGAAAAACGCTGGAGCTGCCTCTGCAGGACTCAACTGTCCGCTGCTCTTGTGAGCACGGTCCTTCCGAGTGTGGCTGGAATGCAATAAGAAATTCTAACGTACTGCTTGCACAGAGCTGTGCAGCATCGCTCATTGCCATCACCATTAGCCATCACCGGTTATTACTGTACAGCTGCACAGACAAATGGGGAGCAGGTCTTAAGTGTAAAATACTGCTGCACAGTACAGTATACACAAGTGGCTTCAAGATGTTGGTTTAGTGGAGTTTTCTCTCAAAGCTTAATTACACAAATCCAAATCCGGCAATAAATCAGCACAACTTTAAAAAAGTGATATACTGTATTTACATGCTGTTTTAACTCCGGCTAAACATTTAGATACAAGCAAGGGAAGGAAAAGCCCTTTTATAGCAAAAGAAATTGGAAAGCAGCTCCTACACTGTTCCCAGGCTGGGGGGTGGGGGGGTGGATAGGGGGACCAGGCTCCTTTGTTACAGAACAATAGAGTTCAGCACAGATGCCTTTTCATCTGTAAACTCTGGCAATGAAAAAAAGGGCTGCCATTTTTTTACAAAAGTAAAAAATGACAAAAAAGGGATCAGGTGCCAAGTGTGTCTCTCGACAATTCAATAAAAATATTTCCAAGCATGATTTTTAAATTAGTATTGGCATTGTTTGAGGATGGCATGAAGGCACTAGAGAGAACTTTGCAAGGTGACGCCTGTGGGAGACTTTTCCCGGTATTGGTGCTGGAGTCTGAACCCAGCTCTCTCCTCTGAGGCTCAAAAGGGATTTTTTTTTGGTATTTGCACTAATCCTATCTGCTATTCATTCACAAGCTGCTCCACACAAAAGCAGGGCGAATGGATATCATTGTAAATTCCTTCATGAACAGAAAGCCAGGGTGAATAATTCCTTTGACACTTTGGGACATTATAGAGAACCCAGACTCTGCAGATTATCATTGGAATAAAAAACAAACCAGGCAGGAAGTATGCAAACTCTTCACTCTGTCCAGACTAAACGGGCAGACCCCAGTGAGGCTCGGTCACGCCCCGTCTCTGCCAAGACCTATGGGTATTGAGATTGTCAAGGAAGGAAAGAGCTCAGATGGGCCAACCATGTAGAACAGCTAAAATAATCCCATGTGATATCAATGGCTTGAATAGCTATAAAGGACCCGTTTCATAACATATTATCAAGGCATTATTTTAAACTACTCTTCACTTAAAGTCATTTGATATTTTATAACATACAAACTTTAGATTTCTGATATGAGGAAACAAGTCTCATGAAAACTAAATAATTTTAGGATTTCAAGACATAGAGGGGTATTTTTATTAATCTTGTTGATGTTTGTTTTTTTAGGCAAGATGATGATACAGATCTGCTCTGTCATCAGTGTCTGCCAACTTGCAGCTTTACAGTTCATACTAAATGCATTTTGTCCTTGCCATGACACCTCTTGGACAACATGAGTAATCTGCGAGAGTCTAATCTGTGCCAGGCTGCATTTCAATGCCACTGGGTTGTGTCTGTTGTGCAAGCAAAACCTGTTTACCAAAGACACGGAGATTAGACTCAGAATCAAAGATCACAGTTAAAACTAAGAAAATAGATGCTGCCTGTTGTGTTTGCAAATGTGTAAATAAATATTTAAACACTGAAAATGTCATTAAAGGTATTTTATATTTGAATAAAGACATCTAAATGGAATTTAATAGTTTTTAAAGTTGTGCTAGTGTGTGGCAAAGGGAGATGTGGTAAAGTCCCGTGATATCATAGTGAGTGATTCCAGCCATAAGAAACCATGGAACACCAAAGCCAATGTGTGTTATAATCTCGGGTTAACTACGGCAAAGCTTCAACACTGCTGGGCAGATTTGCTCTGTTAACCCTGTGCAAGTGGTGCAGCACTCTCTCCTGCTACTGGGAAGGCAGGCTCAGCTCAGACGCCTCTGACAGGTGGTTGGAGATCAGAACCCTGAGGAAGACACCCCGCTGAGAGGGAAGCCCTGATGGAAAAGAAAACATACAGAAACCTCCTCCTCCTTTGTGAGCTTACGGCCAGACTGGTGCGTCCTGCTGAGCACCAGGGCCATGGGCCTTTGATCTGATGGTCCACAGAGGCAAAAGGCCATCAGTAAGAACTTTAGTCATGGCAAGCAGTTTATCGTTGCGTTTCCTTATGTTGGACGGAAGGGAAGAGACCCTGGTTTATTCAGATGGCATGTGTGTAGATTCAGAAAGAACCCTGTCTTTTTCTCTCCCTTAGTTTTTAGATGACAGAAACGCTCCTGTCATTTAATGGATTTAAGAACTAGAGTTTCTAAACAGTGCCCGAAGCATTGATAATATATTTAGCTATGGTTTAATGATTTGCTCTTAGAAGGGGAACAGCCGTCTGTGGCTTGCATTTGCAAGAAACTTCAAGTGTTTTATCTGGGCCTTTTATCACTTAATGATAAAGACCTTTAAGGCACTGTTGGATGACTACAGTCTCGAATCTTGTTCTCCAAGAACTTCCCTAACTAGTCTGTACTTAAAGAACAGATGTTTTGCAAAAATAATGTATGAAAGTTATTCCAAGCGCATAGATTTTACTGCTTGCAATTAGTATCAAGAAAAACAGAATACACTGCAAATTTATGGAATATCTAAGAAAGCCTGGGGAATGCTTCACAATCTCTTATACTCTTATACTCTGTACTCTCATGAAGTAAAGGCTTTTCTGATACTTTGTTCAGAACACAATCTGAGTTTGTACTACTGTATAGATTTCCATATAGTCGCCAAAGTGGCCATACTCTATGTCCCTAAGTGTTGCAACCACAAAAAAAGACACCCTTTATCAGAGAAATATTTATGAATACATGCCCATTTAAAGGAAAAACCTGTGCATCTTCAAACAGGGTAATCTATAAAGAATTTTATCTCCACCCATTATCATGTCCCACTCTGAAGTCGAAAGAGTGCGGGTCTCTCAAATTGTTTTAAATGGAGCCCCGAAGACAAGAGTGTTGACCATGTGACTTTTGTCAAGTGGCTTCTAGCGGCGTAGGCTTGCCTTATCTCTGAAAGAGAAAGGGATGGCTCACTGCAGTGATGGCAACACAGCTCCCGAGCCAGGGCTGTAACATGAAAGCGCCTCTCCGCGGCACTGCCAGGACTAAAGTGGATCTATTTAGAGCAGTGTACTTCCAGAAAGCCCTGCACGGAGACATGACGGAATGGACGTTACTGAAGCGGCTGCTCGACGCAGTCCACCAGCACTCCACCATGATCGGGAGGCTGTGGCTGACAGTTATGGTGGTTTTTCGCCTGCTGATTGTCGCCGTGGCCACGGAGGACGTTTATACAGATGAACAGGAGATGTTCGTGTGCAACACGATTCAACCAGGGTGCTCAAACATCTGCTACGATTCCTTCGCTCCTATCTCGCAGCCACGGTTCTGGGTGTTCCAGATTATAACTGTGTCCACGCCTTCCTTGTGCTTCATAATTTACACCTGGCACAGTCTGTCCAAACAGCCAGAGGGAGAGAGAGTTACGGAAAGCAAAGAGGCATGCGAAAGGAGCTGCGATTCAGACAGTTGTTCTGTCAAATCTCACAGGCATCTGGGACACAGCCTGGCAGACATTCTAGAAGGGACAGATGTTCACGTGAAAAGTGGAAGAGTTTCCAAGACAAGATTAAAAGTTGTCAAAAAAGGGGGTAAAAAGTCCGGGATCCTGTCAAAATACTACGTCTTTCACGTCTTCTTCCGTGCGACTCTGGAAATCGGCTTCGTCTTTGCTCAGTGGGTGCTTTTTGGTTTTAAGGTCCCTTCTCATTTTGTGTGCATGTCTTACCCCTGCACCCAGAGAGTAGATTGCTACGTTTCCAGGCCTACTGAAAAGACCATTTTCCTGATTTTTATGTTTTCCGTTGGGGTCTTCTGCATTTGCTTAAATTTCCTTGAACTTAATCACTTGGGATGGAAAAAAATCAAGGAATCTTTACTGAAAAAAGAAAGTTCATGGAAAGGATATCAGGAAATAAACCAGGATGCCCAATCACTGACCTCACTCACATTCAGAGACCTTACAAGCACTAACTCACTCCCAACATTAGATCTGATGGGAGACAACAACCAGGACTGGACATGCACTGGAAGCTGCTCTCCTATTAAAGATGACAAAGAAGCTGCACCTCAGCAGCGCTCCGAAACACCAAGTGAGGAAAATCGAAGGGGCTCTCAGTCCCTGAAAAGCAAGACAAGTAAAGGCAGGATCTCAAAACAAAAGAGCACTGAAATTTGGATTTGAAATCAGATTGCAAAATGAGGAAAGGTTTTACTAATTGACCTGAACATGAACTTAAGATTGTACTACATCTTTCTGCCAATTCATTTTCCAATAATCGTTTTAATTTCTTCCAATACCTACACTAGGTTTTATCTACCTTATGGTTTATATGCCTAAGTACAGTTTTGAAAGAAAGTGCCAGATTTCAAAGAATTTAATAATTAAGAATATGTTAAACAATACAAGTGTTCTTACAAAGATTCACATTAAAAGGTCTTTAGTAATAGCCTTTTAAGAAATACTTTGACAGGATCTATTTTTACTAAATGAATTTTGTTAAAAACATCTCAGATGTAGTAGATGTGTGTCAATCATGAAACAGGCATTAGCAACGGAAGAAAGTCACAACGAATAAAATAAGAACATTTGTCCAAGTTTGTTCAATATTTGCTTGTGATTTATTTAAGGAATATATTCATTTTTATATGCATTTACAACATCTATAAAACACTTCTGTATAAATTACTGTATGCTGCAGGAAAGAAGAAACAGTTTCATTTACTGCCACTGTTGTATCAACCAAGTGAGAAACGTGACAGCAGAGTAACAGCAAGTAATGATAAAATTGGAATAAAAGAGTTGGAAATACTGAATTAAGAACTTAGTGTTCTGAAGCTACTAAAATAACCCTTTCAGCAATATAACACCCACTGAGGCATTAGAGAAATGTGAACTAACACAATTCTATTGCTTTAATGGTTCTGTCCCTTTACCATCTTTAAATGGAGCTTGAATTCATTAAAAACTAACACTGAGAGAACTGCAGTATTTTCGGTTTAAAAGAAATATTTTAATGTTTAGATTCTAAGGCTTTAAATAATCACACTGCTCAAATTGCTCTGCCTTGGAAGGCTGATCAGTTAAGGAAAAGGAAAGTTTAGTCCATTTATCATGGTTCCAATTACTATGGGTCTGGGTGAAAAATAGCCTCTGTAACAGATAAATTGTGAAATCCTTTTAATTAAACTTCCAGAATACCTGTTACTCCTTGTCCAATTTACTAAAGTTTCTGAATAAACAGATTTCCTGTACTTCCTTCAAAGGGCAATTCTTCTTTCTTCAAATGACTATAATTCTTCAAGAACAATCTGTTAATTTGGTCCAGCAACTGTTTGGTACATTATTTTCAGGTATTTCTAGCTGTGTACTGAATTGGGGAGTCATTTCCTGACCTATATTTTGGAAAACAGGAATGTTTTTGGATTGCAGAACCAGCTTTAAATAGAAAATAATGCTAAGATTAATATCTTGAAATCTTATAGATATATAAGCTAAGAGTAAGAAAAAAATTGAAATTGCAGAGTTTAAAGGTGTGGCATAGTTATAATAGTTTATAGCACAGCTATATATTGTTTTAATAAAGGTTTTTATCTGTTGCTTTTTGCATCCCAGACACTGTGAAGATTTACTGGTTTTCCCTGGATTTGATATAATCAGCCCTGTTAAAACAATGATATATTTTCACAGTTTTACATTTTTTAATACTTACACTACTCTCAGTCTGTAGATGTGATGGAGAGTGTTTCCTTCTTAGTATCTGCAATTACTCTAACTAAAGCTACAACCAATAACAGTGGGGAGAGAAGCAAAAGAATGAAAATCTTTATATTCTGTTTATCAGTACAGAGTCAAGAGCATGTACTGTAAATCCAGATAACAGCCACATAGCTGCATTATAGATATGACCTCTGTAACTAACCGTGAACCTGAAAACCAGTTACAGTTTGCATGTGTATTTATGGGAGTCAAATGTAAAGCTTTAGTGCAATATAAAATACATAAAAAGCACTTATAAGGTGAGTGCAAATAAGAGGTTTGCCCCCATTGAACACAGACTTGGCAATATTTATCATGATGCTCCTTTGTATCACAATAAGTTATACCATGTAAACAGAAGGACTCAGTGAGGACAATCATTCATAGAAGTACAGTTAGTTATATACTCACAGTTTAAAATTGTGTTTCAGAAAAACACATAAGACCACGGCAGGCAGGTAATAAACTATTCCACATTATAGCAGAAAGGTACTGAGATAGCAACAGAAAATACCAACCCCGATACATGAAATACCACTTTTCTTCAAATAAATCAAGGCATACAAATGGTATGTCGTATGTTGCCTGGAAAAGTAGTTCCACTTTCGTTACAAATGAAAAATGTACAAAATAAATACTTGAAAAATAAGACATAGAAAAGTCTGTCAGTCAAAAAGCAAGGCTTTCACAGAACGCGACATTAAGGAAATGTCTCTGTAAATTAATTTAGAACTATGAATTTGGTTCCACAGTTTCAATAAAAAAAAAGTTTTGACTGCTGTTTTTTTACTGTGGCAAAGGCACAATAACATCCACGTAGTTGATGGGGAAGAAGCCTGATTCTCCATTGATCATGCCCTCATACCAGTTCTCATCAATCTGGTTGGTGAGAATGATGATGTCTCCTTCCTTGAACCCCAGCTCCCCCTCGTTTTCAGGTTCAAAATCATACAGTGATCGACAGCAGGGCTGGTCCATATGAACAGAAGACCCTGGAAGAGGCATCCGAGAAGAGTAAGGTCAGAGAAATCAAGAGTCAGTTTGCGGGTGCTCTTCGAAAGCGAGTGAAAACTGAGAAAAAGAGGTACCACCACAACAATCAAGCCACGATTACTCGCAGAAACAAGACTGTGTCCCAGACAAACTTGCAAGCTGACCTTCAGCTTGTCAGGTTTAACAGAACACTGACAAGTCTGAAGAAAAACATTTTTGCAATTGTATTTGCCCTCTATCTCTGCAAGCCTTTGCATTGGGAAAGCAAAACAATGCAATCAAAGCAAATTTCCCACTAATGCGCCACTAAGGACTGATTCAAAAGCTTCGCTCCCAAGCAGTTTGTTTCTAACTCTAACTCAATAACATAGCTGCACGGAACCAGAAGAGGAAATAAGACAGATGACTGAGAGAGAGAGCAATGACTGGATAGTCAACAACATGGGGGCGCTGGGGAGCTACTCACGATTGCTCTCTGTGCTCTGGGGCCATGAGAAGGACATGGGTGAGACTTGTGCTGTTGAGTTGTAACACAATAAGTAAGTGGGAGGTGAAGGAGAAAGGAAAGGGTCAGACCAGATACCGCTATGCTTATTTCTGTTAAGGAACTGTACTAAAAGATCTTGTTCCGAGCCTAAGAATGAAGTTTTCTCTTAATATAAACGCTAAAAGTAAAAGTTATATACTTCATATGATAATGTTGCATTCTTAATTATTTTCAAAATACTGTAATGACATAATTCAATTGGTTCTTCTCTTGTTTTACCAAGGTATGACCACAAGGAGGCACATCAAACATTCCGATAAGCAGGAGCCTTGTGGGTTTGGTAAACTATTACACAATGCTTTGGCATTGGAGTCATTTGGCACACAAGTGAGCATGAATCTAAAATTCCAGAATGAGCAGCCAAAAGAATTCAGTTTCTACGTGAACCTAAATGCGTGGAATATAAAAATTAACTATAAGTAAAGGTTCTTAGAAAATCAAGTGCAGATTCAGCAGTAAAAAGTTAAAACGAAAAGGAAGAAAACTTTTACACATGGTTGTTAATGTTTGAGGTTACCATTCTTGAGACTAAGTGTCTGAGTCAAAGGTTGGTAAAGTAAGACAACTGATCTGTTCCCTTTACATTTTGATAATGTCTTAGGCTTGATACCTACTGTTTCCATTTACAGTGTGGTTGGTCTGGGCATCTGCAATAAATTATGAATATATTAAAATCTAAGCAGGTCTGAAGGCAAAGCATTTTATTCTACTATACCAGAACAAAGAAACATTACATTTATTAATCACTATCTTTTTACACATATTAGTAAATAAAAGAGGTTTCATTCAATATTTCCATGGTGTCATCAACTCATTGGCCTTAATAAACTCAGAAACAATATACATCAACCAGAGAACCTTAAAGAAATAATTTTCAGCCATCTCTCCACCTACCAGTTTTCTGAATGCAGACCGAATTCCATCACACTCAGTATATTCCCAGAATAAAAATATGACAGGGGTCCATTCCACACAGTAACAAACAGCCAAGGCTTACAGACAAACAGATCCATGGAAGAAGCACTGCCTTCTAAACCCTTAGCTGGACACAAGACTGAAACCTGTTTTCTGTAACATTCCTGCTATAATGAATTGTTGTTGCCAATGTAGCTGACACTAACGTTAAAAGAAAAAAATACATCATTAAATTATTCTACATTATCAGTGTTGGGAGCTTGGTTTGGTGCTCACAAAGCAGATGGAAGAAAAAGCCTGGCTGTGAAGACACCTCTCTCACCATGGGCTCTCACTGAAGATCACTACCCTGGCAGGAAATGTGAAACCCTCCTTTCTACTCAGGTTTTTGTCCTCTTACAATGTATTGCTTGTTCTGATAACAGACCTCTAATAGGACCTTTCAGGTTATAAAGTGCTTTTTCCTTAGTCAAGAGCTAATTAGTGCTTCAGTCAGATTTTTTTCATGGCTGAGCCTATACTTCTGTAACTAAACTCTTAATTTAACCAACAGTCTGATTAAATAAACCTTAGTGTTATCAGCTTTGAAAAAAGTAGGGTGATTTTGTTATCTATGATATTTGACAGATAACATCACATTTCCATTTAAAGACTGAGAAATGTAGACAAAATAGATTTACTGCAATTAAGGGACCATGGACTCTTTTTGAGGAATCCTTGCTTAAGCTGTAGTATTTATTATAAAGGAAACATTGTGTGGCCATTGGGTGGTGTAATAGACTGTTCATGAAATGTGCATGAAACACAGGTATGGAAAAGAACGACTAAAAAACAGGAAGCATTGAAAAAGTGTTTGCAAACACAAAAAACATTTTAATACAACAAAACTGTATTTTAAAAACCTTTAAAATGTATGCAATGTTTTTTAAAAAAAGCATAAATTCAAACTTTATGTTCTACCAACGTTCACATTGGTTTCCTCCAGGTTCGACAGTTTCCTCTCATAGTCGAAAGACATACCTGTACTACAGGTAACTGGCTTCTGGAAAACTGGCCCTGGTGTGAGTGTGTATGTGTCTGTGTCTGTGTGTGCCCTGTGATAGACTAGAGTCCCCTCCATGGTGTACACTGCCTTGTGCCACTTGCTTGCTGGGATAGGCTCCGGCTTTCCTGCCTCCCTCTATTGGATAAAGCAGTTAGGAAATGGATGGATGGATTCAAACTGTACTTTCATAAAAGTGATGCATGGTTACCTGAGGACTTGAATGATGAACTGTATGACAATCCATTGTGCTGCTGGTTATCGATGGTCTCTAAGCTCGTCATTATGGATTTTGGTTTGAATTCTCTTTTAGGGCGGTTGCTTGCTGCTGTTATTCTGTACAAAAGTTAAATAGTGCCAAATTAAATTAAGAATGCAGACATCACCTGGATAGCTAGTCTTAATTTGTCACATCAATGACCAGCACATGTACTGCAGAGAAAATGTTCGGATAAGCTGTTGTGAGTAAAAACACAGAGGAGAGATTAGGATTCTTTATTACTTGTAAAAAGAGCAGAAAGTATACCCTACCTGCTCTGTAATTTGTTGTTAAGCTCTTCAAGAATTTCCAGAGACTGGCGATGATAGTCTAGTGCTGCTTCAACTAAGGCTGACAGCTGACTCACCTGCTCCACCTGAATAAATACAGCTCTCATCAGCACATGTACAGACACTTAGTAGAAAAAATAGGTGGCATTTTCAATGCTTTTTCAGGGATCAGAGATTTAAGAATATTCTTAACACTTCTCCAGTAGTTCCTGAAGGGAACAAAAAGGCAAAAAAACATTTATACTGCACCATTTTACATGCCCACACATTCATGATATAGTCTGGCAACTAAAAAAATAACTTGCATCTTCTCTTTTTAGAAAAGCGAAGTACAGTAACAATGAGAAACAGAGTGGTTTTTCATACAGCTACAGGACTGTGCTTCCATAAAATGATTAACTGTAATCATAGACGTTTCATTTTCACTTACATCATTTTCTAAAAAGTTGAACATGCTTCTTTCAGCCAGCTCTTTGGACTCTTCGAATTTCTCCACAGCTTGTTTGATTTCTTCATCCGGTATCTTACCCTGACGCTTCTTTTTGTAATCATAATCTAATCGACGACCTTCAAGTTTTTTTAAATGATGCTGTCGAGGAAGAGACAAATTGTTGACTTTGAGTATCTTTTAAAAATTACAAGGCAAAATCAGAAGTCTGCCTACCCTCATATGCTATAATAGCTTCATGCCTCATGCTCTATTCTTCGAAACCCTGGGCGCTCCCACAGCTTGTACTCCTCCAGTTCTGGGTCTTTTCAGTCTCTGGCAAAAGAATCTGTATGTTCCTGCTTGATGCTTGGCCTGCATTTCTTTCTCATTTCATTCAAATGCAGATTCAACTCTTTCACTTTGCTGATCTAAATGTTTCCATAATCAAAGGTCTGAAATTCATAATGCTCAAGATTCATCTCATCTCTGGTTTTGCTAAGTGACTTCAGAGTGCATAGACGGGCACATGAGTATGCATGTGCATTCTCTTATTCAGAAGGTGATCTTTAAATCTCAGCTATTAAACTCACTACATGCAAATCCAGTGCAAGCACATACAGTACAGTACTGTTCCATAAGAAATCAATTAAAAGAAAATTCTGCTCTGGTTCAATTAAAAAAAAAAAACTGTACGATACATGAGTATACATGACCATTGCAAATCAAATGTGTCATGACCACAAAATTTAAAGCAACAAAATCTGAAAACTGTGCAAGTATCTGAATACTATGCTAGTCACTCTGTGTGTAACAGTACATAAATATGTCAATACCTACCCCAATTTCTTTTAAATCTTTTTCTTGTAATGTTTGTAGGGGATCAATAAAGTTCTGTTTAACACCGATGTCCAGTGAGTCTTTCACGTCAGCCATTTGTTTCATGGCTTCACCAATATCAACCAATGCACACCCTGGAAAGATTTCAGCGAAATGCTCCATTCAGAGGTGACCACACACAACGTAAAAGCAGAGCCTTACAATGTTTACCCTTTGTTTAAAAAGCTATATCCTGCGGGCTTTAGAATGATTGGTACCCTTGATAACAATGAACAAAAAATACATATAAATAACACAGACAGTAAGCCATATTTTATACCCCCCAAATGGGAAAACCAGAAGCTTTTATTCTAATACAAGGAAAACATTTTTAAATGAGTAACACTATTTTTTTCTCACAAATATAGGAGTCAAAATTATTGGATCCCCCGTTTTTCATATTGCTGCAACCTACTCTTGCAAGGATAACAGCACAAAACCTTTTCCTATATTGTTCAATAAGGTTAGAGAACACATTGGGAGGGATTGTGGACCACTGCTCTGTGCAGACATTGTCCAGGTCCTTGATGCCCATATAAACTGCCCTCTTCAATTCAGACTTTGGGTTTTCAATCGGGTTTTTTTGTCCTGAGATTGGGCGAGAGTCTCTGTAAACGTTGATGTCATCGTCATGCTGGAAGGTCCACCACTTGCAGATTTCTGGCAGAGGTAACCAGGTGTTTGGCCAGAATATCCTGATACGAGTGCAGTTCATGATGCCATTGATCTTAACAAGCGCCCCAGGGTCAGTGGCGGCAAAACAGCCTCGCAAACTTTAAATGATCCACTGCTGTATTTGTTCTGGTTTGTACGTATCCCTTTGCTGATGCCTAACGCCCTGATTGTGTCAGTGGCCAAAGAGTTTGATTTTAGTCTCATCTGACCATAGCACCCGGTTCCGATCAAAGTCCCAGTGGTGTTACACAAACTCCAGCCACTTCAATTCGTCTTGTGTTGTCAGTGAGGGCTTTCGTCTGGCAGCTCTTCCAAACAGCTTGTTGGCATGGATATACATGTATCATCTTATTGTTGATTATTGAGTCTTGGTGACCCAAAGATGTAACCAAACACTGTAGTTCTCCTACAATGAACCTTGGATGTTTTTTTTAGCTCCAACATCATCTTCTTCACTGTGCGTGGGGACTTCCGTCCACTTCCAGGTAAATTAACCACTGTTTAGTGGTTTTCAACTTGATTATTGCCCTAATAGTGCTAAGTGGTATATTTTACTTTTTATGCATTTTTGCATCAATTACCTGATTTTTGAAGCTACTGTAACACAACCATCTCTGTCTCTTTTGATTAGTCAGTTCTTTGCTTTTCCCCATGGTGATGGATGACACAAGGTTTTCTCACATGTGCTGCCTCTGTTCATAGCCTTGTGAAACAGGAAGTCCAAAAACCCATTCCTTGGGACAGATTTGTTTTTAAATAAAGAGAATTTAATTGGAGATTACATTTTGTGTAATTTTCTTCAATAAACAATGTAGGAGATCCAATAATTTTGACACCTATGTTTCAGAGAAAAATAGTATTACTTATTACTCTAAATACAGCTCATTATCTGAGCAGTTTATTATAAACAGCGTTTTTGTTCATTTTTATCAAGGGTGCCAATAGTTCTTGAGCCCACCATAAAAGGCAGGAGGTGATCTTTAAAAGCATCTCACTCCATTTCTGTGTGTAAGTTTTCATTGACCTGCAAAGCTTTTAAATTTATCTGACTCTAAATTCTTAGTAAAATACAGTACTTTTGAAATAATTCAGTTTCAACACTAAAATAAAGAACATGCCATAGTGGACTAAACTCTTGCCAAAGAATTAAACTGGCCTGTCCACTAGGTGTCAGCATTGAGTTACATGACCTCTTAACATCTTTAAAAGTTAACTGCTTTTGTGAAGTTCAGAATTACATATTCATTTCTACGTGTGTCTGTTTTGCAAAGCATGAAATGGCAAAGGGTAGAGTGTAAGTTTCCACTTTTCATACAGTATGAATAACAATACAGTCCTTTAAGATTAATCATTAATCACAATTTTCCCTGACTCTTCTGTGCAAGGTGGCTTACAACAGCAATTATACATACATTTTATAATCTGACAGGTGTAGTAAGTGAAAACCGCTGGTTTACCTGGTGCAGGACATGAGATTACAGATCGCACAGGAGACAATTTAATAATTAACGTGTGAAACAAGCACAACACGTGTCCAACACAGGCAGAGAAGCTCACCAAATGTTGAATCCTCTCCTAACTCCTTGCCATAACGCAGCATGCAGTCCCCCAGTATCCCCTCTGTCTGAGGATAGCCCGTAGTCTTCACCTGTCCTCGAATCTTGGACACAGTGTTCAGCATGCCAAGCTTGGCTCTGTATGCTGAAAGATCAGCACAAGTGGAAAATTAGGGGGAAAATGCTCACATTAGCTCACAAAATTACCTTTTACAAAAATGGTCCTACTCTTTGGAGAAGCCAATTAGTTACAATCATTTACTTCAAATGTACTGACCCTTCACTTAGCTAAAAATCAATAACAATGCTACGGAGAAATTAACTGAACATCACAAATGGGCATTTAATTGTGTTCCTTCACAGTAAAAGTACTCACAGGTGTAAAACCATCAAGATGTTGTGAACCTATACTTCAATTATCAGTAGCCGTATAAAAGAATGTTGTGAAAAGAGTCCAGCTACTCTGAAAACGACTTTTACTGGTACTACTGCTATTCCTTCTATACCTACTGTTATTATTACTTATAATAATAAAATAAATTAATAATACCTGGATTTGGTTGAAGGTATTCTGTGGTTTTTGATAGGAGATCCATGACAGATTTGTTGGTGACCTCTATTTTCTAAAATAACACATTGATCATATTAGTAAAACACATATAAAAATATATCCATCCATTTTCTAACCACCTTGTCCAATTGGGGAACCAGAGCCTATCCACACAAGCAACAGGCACAAGGCAGGGCACACCTTGGATGGAACACCAGTCCATCGCAGGGCACACACGCACACAAACCCCCGCACAATCACATCAGGGCTAGTTTTCTCAGAAGGCATTTAACCCACCGGTATGGCTTTGGACTGTGGGAGGAAGACAGAGAAAACCACTGCAAACACAGGGGAAACACACAAACTACACTCAGATAGCACCACAAGAATTCAACCCAGGCCCCAGTGCTGCAACACAGCAATGCTAACCATTGTGCCGCCCACATATAAAAATGCCATTTATAATTAGAAGAGACAATACACAACAATGTATTTGCAGTACAAGGATTTATGCAGTTGTGACTGATTTCTTATTTACAACCAAGAATGCCACTGACTAAGGCCTGGTTCTCTGGTTAGTTAGTATAGCACACAGCTTACCCTTTCCATTTCCATGAAATCTTCATCCAGTTTTGTTCCTTCAGCCCCACTAATCTTTTCACTGAATAGCTGTAAAACAAGGACATAGAAATGTTAAATCAGTAGCAAAGATCGGACTATGGATTTATCTATAGATAATTTTTTTATAGATTTATGTTCTGCTTCACATGACAAGTGACATTGTAATGCACTTTAACATTTCAACATTTCTCTCACACCACTTACAAGTTGAGAGATCTGGGATCCTTTCTGGGGACAAAAAGAACCAAGCAGTAACCATCTCCAATAAATCTGTCTTCGCTGCGGTATGAGGTACAAGATGGAAGGACTGCCTTGATTATAAATAGCACATGGAAACTGCACAAATCCTGAGGAGGCTGATGCAACCCATCATTTAGATGAATTGCTGGTTGTCACTCAAGGGCTTCACAACATGTAATTTGTGGTCAGCGAGCTCTTTGTGTGCATTACAGTAAAATCATACTGACGTGACCTGGAGCTGTATCGTATCATACTTGCCCCGTTAACACAAGAACAGGTCTAGGAGAATCATCCTGAATATTTAATGGTAATGCAACATATAGCACAGTATATCACCATATGTTTTGTGTTGCTTCAGAATAGAAGAAGGCAGTAATAGACTGCTTGCTCATAACAGTGCTTTTGTGCTCTGCATTTTAATCTCCTTATAACCATGATACATGTGTACAGTAAATAACAAGGCAGTGATGTGCTAAGAGATAGGACATAAATTTCAGATGTACAATAAAAAGCAGTATTTCAGAAATATTCCAGAGCAGATTCTCCTGTTTTTCGGTTCGTTATTAAATTTGCTGAATTATAGTCAGCAAAATTTTAATTGCATAGGTGGTTTCTGCTCTGCCTGTTTTTTTAGCTGTTTTCTTCTCTTTTATGTAGAATTGCAATGTTCCTTATATTGGCATAACCATCTCCAGACATTAACAAAGGGGAGAAGAAATTTAATAAATTAAGGGACTTTTAAGTTCTTTCCACAAATACCACAAAACTGTAAGGTCACACAATCTTTTTAACATTTTTATACTTCATTCTGCAAGAATAACAATGAAAAAGCCTTGACACAACAGACTATATTATGTAACACTCTGCTGAAGGACTTTTTGCTCCACTGGGTTATTTCATAACAGTCTTATAAAAACACAAAACAAACTCCTTTACACAGTAAACCATAAAGCTGAAACATGAGCATTAGACAAATTACATTATATCAATTTTATCTTAAAGATAATAATTTATAGTAAATGAGACAAAACACATAAATCAAGCTATGTTTGCCATGTTCTTCTCTTTATTATGAGATGCCAAATTGTTATTATCAGTCCATTATGGGAAATCCAGTATTTAAACAAGGGGACCTGGAGAACCACTGATCCAGTGACTGTTCACCCAACAACAGGCTAAAAACAGAAGAAAAGCAGTTTCTCTGTCTTAATTCTTCTGTGCTTTTGTGCAATAACTGGATGCACACGACACACCGCAGAATCTGCTTTATTAAACCAGAGGGCACAGGGCCTCTCGAAAGGCTCAAGTGGTGAATCTCTATTATCACGGGTTCGAGCCTGGGTCGTGTCACTAGCCGACTGTGAGTGGGATACACCAGGAAGTGAGTGGCATCTCAGCCAACAGCATCCTCTGTGACCCCCTAGGTGCCTGCGGGCTAGTGGTTCTGTCAAAGGACGTGCCTCCCCTCAAATTAGTGACGAAGCGCTGACAGAAGGTGGCGGTTCCTCTGACGGTGTTTCGGGGGAAAGGGATTACACTCCCTAATTCTGTGTGTGATCAGAAAGTTTCACACCCATGAGCTGAGATGTGAAAAACACACAACCGGCAAATCCAAACTCCAGTGGGTATAACGAAAAAAAAACTTGCTGTTCTAATTTAAAAAAAGAGGTGAAGCTGAACCAGCAGTTTTTGGAGAAACCATAGCCATTTCCTATCAAGGGCTCATACTAGACTGCGTATAGGTTAGTCAAGGCCAGAACCCTTATTGGTCAACTTACTGACCTTATTTTGAATTGTTTTAATAATCTTTATAAAATAATAGAAAAGATGGAGTGAAGTGCAGCTATAGTTGCTGGTCCTTGTCCTCATCCTTCAGGAGAGCAGCACAGGCACGTGTCATTATGACATCTAAAACTGGCGGTTTAAGTGTGGTGATTGTGACACTTTTCATCCTAAAATCAAGTCAAATTGAAATTTTTGCATCGCAAATCTCAGCGTTGTCATGTCATGTTAAGGCATAACAGACGGCTTGCAGATTTGCCCAATAATTGAACCAGAAAGCCAAATCCACAAAAAATATTTAACTGCATTATTATCAATTGGGCTTCTGCTTTTATTCGAAACAACTTTGACTTATACCCATTTATAGACGTGGGCATACTGGGGCTGTCCAAGTAAATATTTTGCAGGAAGGGACAACAGCAGTACCCCACACTGTCCACAATCTTCCAGTTACAAGTCCAGAGCCCCTAACAGCTGCAACACTCTAGCCCTACATAGCCTGCTAGGCTTACCAAGTACCACTGCTTTGGTACTTGTGCCCCTACCGTTCAGAAACAAGGATGAACACAACCTTTGAGTTTAGAAATAATTCCTGAAGAACAACTTTTTTTCTCTTTAAAACTCATGATTATCCCAATACAAGTATCCCAATACAAGTCACAGGAAAATGATGACAGAATCCTTCGCTGATTTCTACAGTAACTGGATTTCCAGTAACTATGGCACTGGAATGGTGACTTCAATTATACTGTATTGCAAACAGGACTATTGGGACACTGCCACTTGGTAGCAGTGCCATCAATCCAATTTCCTGTGGATAACAACAAATGCATTATTATGTAATACTAAAAAAAATCTACTTCAAATGTTCTAAAAATACTCATGACTCATGATGTCTTTTTTATATATGAAAATGAAACTATTTGATTTAAAATGCTAAGTGGTGTTCTACATTAATTTACTGTAGTAGTAGCTTGTAAATGTACCCAGCAATTTTCTCTTCCTAGGGAAGCACTAACAGTAGGGGCAGGCGACTGATTTATTATATGCTGTTGATAGTAGTTTGTGTCTTGCAAGGCCTGTATTCTTATTCAAATATGTTCTAATAATACAGATAGTCTTCTTCCTGCTTTCAAAGGGCAAACAGTTAATCTCTCATCTGAAAATCTTTACCATTAGCTCCTTTAACCCTAACTCCTTGAACGTCACACCTCTCTGGCTTCCTTTGTAAAATGTCATTCTGCAATATTTTACACTTGTTCCACTGCTTTCACAACAAACCATTATCACACTATTCACGCTCAAGACTCAAAACTCACATGGATTTCATAGAGACGCCCAGCTTTTCCAATGGAACTGAGGGCTGTACTGCACAAAAATAGCAGAGGCAGAAAAAGTATTTGGAAGCTGCATGGACCACAGACCTTGACAAGCACCATGAATGCAACAGGAAGGTTCAATCACGCAGAGCTGGCATAACCTACTTCCGTTTAAACCCATCACATCACTTGAACCTGTCTTCTTCTAATTACGCTAATAGGACCCTTCTGTTTGTAATACGCAGAGGAAATGACCCCATAGGAAGCTTTAGGAAGAAGTTAAAGCAGTGCCTCATTAAAAAATGACACCGAACTGCAGGAATACATTTGTGAGTTCACTTGTTTTAACAATTTGGAATCAGTTCTTTTTTGTTATACACCCACTCAAATTGGAATGGAGGACTATTGTTCACCATGTCTTGGCTCGCAGTATGAACCCCACAGCTGCATTCTGGGGAGAATGAAGAAGTGTAGGCAGACTCCTCCGGCTTGCCCTCCTTTGTGCCAGTCACCTTGTAACAGAGGCAGCACTGCCCCATTCCAATCAGAGGAGAGGCACATCCCCCACCAACTGCACTGGCAAAGGGGGACCAAAGGGGGCGCTACGTCTCTGAGCATCGAGAGACCCCTGGCAACTGATCCCACTGTACCAACCACACTGTACACCTGAGCCTTTGGGGAATTCTGTAACCGCTGAGGAAAACTCAGAACACTTGGATAACTGGGCCCTGCCCACGCTTCGACCAGAGCCTTTACCTGCCACACTTTCAAATCAACAGTGACAAACTAACCTCTCTGCTAATGCATATCTGGCTAATATTTATTTTATAATGCTTGCAGGGAATCTATTCTGCCTCTTTTCACAAAATGGGGTTTTTACAGTAAATTGTTCACATCCAAACGATACAACCTCATTCTGTGCCGGGCATGTTTGAGATTGTGCAGAATGCCACAAATGATAGGAAGCTTGATCTTGCCAAGTGTCTATGGCCTTTAGCAAAGTATGTGCTACAGAGAAACTGTTCCATTAGCAACAAAGGCATGAAATCCAGATGGTAATGTAGGCTTGTACTCCAAGATAAAGCAGAAGGTCCTGAGGATGGATAATACAAAGTGAAATGGCCACACGTCAGATGCATTCTGCTGCAGAATTAACCCCAAATGTTTCATTTTATAAGTAGTATTTCATTCAGTATAGGACAACACAGACATTACCACAAGTGTAGAGAGCTCCAAAACAAGGCCTCAGTTTATTTTTTAACAAAACTGCAACCCTGTTCTAACTAGCAATGGGACTGCCTTCTGCAGTTCAAGAAATTTGCATCTCATAGTGCTTGAAATCAAAAACTGCCCTTTTCCAAAGCCAGACTTCCACTGGGTCTAGTTTGGGAGAAAGGAAACTTTTTCCTAGAATCCCTTCTGGCAGCGAGAGGTACAGAGTTGCTCGTTGCCAAGTCAAGAACCTGAAGCTTAAGAAAACAGCATGAACCTTTTTCCTGAGATTGATTTGCCTTTGTTTACATCAACTCAAATAACCACATGACAGCTCAGTACCAAATACACCTTATGCCAAAGAATGTACTGTTCCCTTTCAGTGCTGGGCATTTTATGGTCGTCCTGCAAAAGACACCATCACACACTCAGTAATAGTTGTTTTCTACTGCGGACTTCAAGTACATACAAATTCCAAAACAAATTCCTTTTCTC